ACCTTATATAAAAATACTCTATTTATTATAACCTATAACTATAATATTGATTATGTAATATATATAGTTATGTAAACACCTTATGTAATTAGTAGTTTAGTAGGTTACGTTTCAGATTATCTTTCCCCTTACCTTTCCCTACTAGAGGAGGAAACCTGCTAATTACATAAAAAACAACAACTAGAGTTATCATAATATATCGATTCCCTTATTATTATCTATACGATTAAATACCTATAAATGCTCAGGATTATCACCTTTTATTATAATATAAGCCCATCTATAACCCTATACTATATAGGCGTATATACTACGCCCCTGAATACGCTTATACCTGTGCTAACAGTTAACATTATTAAAAAAGTTAGTATTTTTAATAGCTTTCTTAAAAGTAGTAATCTTAGAGACTTTATTATTAATCTCCTCTATAGTCTACTTATAGAAATCTTAGTAAAGAGTAGTATAAATATTAGAGGTAATAGAGGTGCTATTTATAGTAATATAGACTCTATTAGTAATAAGGAAGTCTCTAAAGTTTTTTATAGTAGTAGGGTTATAATAAGTAAAGGTAGACTTTAGTACCTCTTTAAAATTAGTATATATCTAACCTTAGAGAGTAGAGTTAGTGAGGTTATTAAGTTAGTAATACTCTATATTAAATAGAAAGTATAAGGTAAGTTACTATTAAATAGTAGTGTTTAACTCTAAGTTAATATTACTAAGTTTTTTCTAAATATTATAATTAACTATATTATAAACCTAAGTAGGGATAGGGATAGAGTAGTTACTAACTAGAGGGCTAAGAGGAAGTAAAAGGGGTAGAGAGGGTAATAATCTTAAGTTAGAGGAGTTAGCTATTATTAAAGGGAGTTATTAATAAAATAAGGTATTAAGTTAAATAATAAATGAGGTTTATTATACTATAATTATAAAAAGCTTAATTAAGAATTAAAGTAACTAAAGCTTATTTATCTAATAGATAATTTACTACTTTATTACTTACTTAATTTAATATAACTTAATAGTAGTTAAAGATAGAGGTATAGGGGCTAAGGAGGGCTTTTACTAAAGTAAAAAAAGAGTATTATAGAAGGTAGTTAAAGAAAGTAAGTAAAGTTTAGTAAGTAATATTATTAATAAAGTAGTAGACTTTTAAGGATATAAAAGTAGTATAGTAGTATTATAGAAGGAGTATAAGTTAATAAAGTTAAAAGATAGTAAAAAATTCTCTTCTTAGCTAATAGTTAGTAGTTAGCGTTTAGTAATTAAATAGCAGAAAAATTCTTATAATAAGGTATACTATATAGGTAGTTATTATTAAATAAGCTTAAAGTAGCTATTTACTATTAATATTAATTTAGTAAAGAAGAAAGTAATTAAGAGCTATTAAAAATAAAGTAATCTCTTATCTATTTATATAGCGTGAAAACTCTATTTATAAGGGGTAAGAGGCTAAGAGAGGTAATTAGTGAGGTAAGAAGTTAACTTTACTATTAATTATAAGTTAATAGGTTAATATTAATATTAAGGGTTAAGTATATAATAGACACTTTTTAAATAAGAAGTAGAAGTAATTATTAAGAGCATTCTAAGTAAGATAAACTATCTTTTAAGTTATATTATAACTATTTCTATTAAGTATAAGATTAGAGGCTATAAAAGCTATTATTATAATCTTATTATTATTAATACTATAAGGAGATATTATTTAATCCTATTAATACTAATAATATTAGTATTAATATACTCTTCTTAAAGATTAGAGGAGGGTAAGTTTAAGGCAGTTTAGGCGATATAAACTATCTTTTTTAAAGTTTATAACTACCTTATTAATATAGGTTAATTAATTAAGCATTCCTAAGTAGAATAGATCTAAATAAATATTAATAAGACTACCTCTTCTAAAACTTTATTAATCTATAGTTAATTAACGTATTATATAGTAGTAACTATAAAGTTAACTACTAATTAGTATTAGTCTTATAGGACTAGCTAGCTAGTAAGGGTTACTATAAGCAGTAAATATTATATTATATTAACTATATTAGTAGTAATATATATGTGGTTAACTACGTTAGAGGTAGCGGCTGCGATCGCGGCGTTGATCGCAGAGGGCGGTGCCTTACGTAATCGCTGATTACGTAAGGCGCGCCCAGCTCGATTAACGCTGCGATGGGCTGGCGTTGCCGACATGGGCCTTTCAATTCGCAGACGAGAGTCCGTATTTCCTCACAGGCATCTGGAACCTCCTCCTACCACCTAAGGCCCAATCAGCCAGTGCGCCAGCCAGGACAGCGCCGAATATCGGTCCGGCATAATTCATGTTGTCTTTGGTGACTGGTAGAATCTGTGGGAACGGCATCCAAAGTACCACGTAGACCAAGTAGCACAAGGCAAAGATGTTGACTGGAATACCTGCGCTGCCAAGCTTAAAGGGACCGTAGGGCGGGGAAGGGCCTCGCACTCGTCGCAACAACAGGAAAAGAATTGGGAAGAAATATGACACGTGAAGAGCTAGGGCTTGAAGAGATATCAGGGCGTTGAACGCGGTGCTGGAAGCAATATAAATAAGGGAGAGGCACGTAACAATGCCAAGAATGAAAAGCAAGGCATGAACCGGGAGTTTCAATGTGGGGTTGATCTTTTAAAAGAGTGTTAGAAGGTTTTCGAGAAGAGCTCTCGACGATAGAGTACACTTACAACCGAAAAGAAGTTGGAGAAAGGCAGCCCGTTGTCTTTGGCGAAGACCCAAACAAGACGGGACACGGACGCCAGCATATTGAACAGGGCAAGGAAAATGATAATTGCCACAAGTGAGATTAGGGCGTTGGTCGCAGCTCTAGAGCCTGTTGCATTGTAGACGACGTAGATCAGTGGAAGAGGGGCCGTGGAAAGGGTATCTACAGGGCCAATGTAGAATAGCAACACTATGACGAAAGCAACCAGCATGACCGAGTTCACGGTACAAGCAAGGATGACGCTGCGCGGCACCCGAGTCTGGGCTTTTTTGACTTCGTCGCCTAAGCAAGTAGATAAGTGGTTGTTTCCAGGAGAGGTAAGGCACGAAAACTTACTCATGTGGATGACACTGTCGAAGCCGGTAACAGAGAAGGTCACTGTCAACAGCCCTAAGCCCCATGATACGCCAGAGTTGTTCCAGCCAGATACATCTGAGGTCAACGTCTTGAACACGTAGTCATTACTGCTACGCTGCCCCGAAGCGACGAGAACGGCGATGAAAGCGACGAAGAGAGCCAGGTGTAAGACGCCGCCGAGAATCTCGAACACATCGAGCAGCTTACGGAACCAGAGGTTGAAGAGGAAAGGTATTATGAGAGCGCCAATCATGATCAAGCTTGTGTGCCAGCGTTGCGGTTCGTAGGTCTCGTTATTGAAAATTGCCAAAGACGTGATGATATTCGCGAGGATGGACGGGGGACCTCCACAGGCGAAGCACCAGGCAGCAGTCGTGATCCATCCTTGTAAGCAGGTCAGAAGTTTGCAATTGATTCCGCCCGATGATCAAGAGATTCTGTAGGTACCTTGCAGCAGACCCCAGAATCTGTTTGCACTAGGGGCGAGGTTGGCAGACCACCGGTATTGTGCACCGACTGTCGGATCACTGAACTCATGTGAATACCATGGGGAAGGTCACGGAAAGTGATGGCAATACTTACATAGATGCCAGCTCAGCAAGCGAGAACCCAATGGCGCACGCCCCAAAGCCAGCCAAGATAGACCCGTAAAACATCGAAGCCGGCCCGCCGTTGGCCAGGGCAAATTGAAAAGTAACAGCAAAGGACTCCCACGACGCTAAGATGATCACACCAAAGTTCACCACAGCAGAGTGACTTATGTACCGCTAGATGAGATTAGTTTTGTCCAGGCTTTTTTTGCCAACAAATGAATCCGGAAGCCTGGTCATACTCACCTCGAGACCCTTGGGGTGATGTGGCTCAGCGTGTTGAGCCGAGCTGTCGAGGAAGGCTTTCTCCCCATTATCTGCGCCACGGTTGGCATGCCCCGGGTAAGACTCATCCATGTTTCTAACGTGTGAAAAAAAAAAAGTTTACATGTCAACTATGAGTCGAGGGAGTTGCGCGAGGGCTTTAAAAGAACGCCATGGACAACCCCGCGATTCACCGTCGTTCTGCTGTGACCCTATGTACAGTGTTGTGATAGGTCAAGTCGGACTCATGCAATTGATTGAACACGCTTCTAGCGCCAAGAAATCTAATTCTATAGGGTGAAATGGACATCCGATTGTAAGGTTACATGGCAGATGAAACATATTGCGTGCTATGCTTTAATTCGATTGACATAATATTTTAGCGTCCGTTCGCTACACTAAGCATCATCGGTTCACACGTTTGTCGATACGTGGCTCTGAAGCTCGACCTAACTCAATTTACCGTCCGTGAAAGAAGCATGCCATGCTACCCGCGCGAATTGCATACTATACCACCAATCAATGATTCACAAACATATTTATTGTTTTCCAACGTGAAGTATGCGGTTGTCTCGTAAAACGCTCTCTTACTGTCATCATTCATAGATTAGGGTACTATTCCCTCAGGATACCCATGGTTTGTTTGGAACCATGCACTGTCCCGTCCCACTCCTCTGATTCGAAACGATTCTAGAAATGAGTTAGCTATGATTTCGCTTCATTCCAGCTACATCGTCAACTATTCAAATGGTGTAAAGCCATGGGATAGGAGATGGACTTGGCCTTGCTCATTGAAAGGGGAGCAATGGCTGCAATGGTCCTAGATATTTCAAGCCCTGTTGGTGGTTCGTTACTCTTCTGGTGACAATTTCACATACCAGTCTATTTATATTTGTCTTCAAATCCGGTGTAAAGCACCCTTTTGGTACCTCTGAAGGGCGTTTGTGCTCCGGTTTGCTTGGGTTAGAATTGACGGAGACAGCCTCCGAGATCAGTCCCATAATAGCTAAAGCCCCACTCAGACCAGTGGCTCCTTCCACTTGTTCCGCTTGAAGGATTCGGTTGTCGTATTGCCATCGGCAAGTATTTATGGACCTTGGTAGCTCCAAATCCTTCTGCCTTTTGGCGTGCACTTCATTGGTTACTGATTAGCTAGCTGTGAGTTGAGAACATGCTTGAGTCGCCGTGACTGTGAGTCGACCAATAGGGCCCCGAAAACGACTTGAAATATCTGATGTTGGTTGACATCTGGAACATCTTATGCCCCACTCACGGAGTTGCTATCCGTTGGCACAAACTTCTGAACCCCAGTTAGGCATCCGAGAACACACCCACTGAGATGTCCTCCTGAGGTGGACACTTTAGCCAACTCCTCCATAAGCGACAGGGACCAGGGTTGCGGCCCGAGGCTGTGACGGGTATTGAGCTTCTAAATTCGCCGGCTGAACCGGCGTGCCTGACTCGAAGGACCCTGCGGTGCTCTGGAGACCGCACACCCGGATCCTCTCCGTGATGATCACCTCCAATCCGAGCAAGGACGTGGAGCTCAGGCAGCTTCTAAGCCCTGTCTGTCAACGGCTGGCAGGGGGCAGAGAGATGGCGATGATCGCACGTTGGAAGGGTTCAAGCTCCATCGTGCGATCCGCATTGAATCCTTCGCGAGAAGGCTCGTGATAATATCTGCGGCGGTGACAGCGAGTTATCCATCGTTGACTTAAGATTTTGTTATAAAGAGGTCTTCAGTTACCGACAGCAGACTAACATTTACCCTCATCCTCATCTTCATCCTCTCCATCTCTATCCGTCTCAATTACACTACTTGTAACTCTTCATCCCCAACAGCCAAATTCCTTGCAAAATGCTCGCCAACAACATCATTGCTACCCTTGTCCTTGGCCTCGCTGCCACTGTCTCAGCAGCCAACAACAAGGCGAACGAGTATAAGAGCGGCGATTGGTAAGTCAACATCCCATTCAGCCTTATGACAGCCCTAGTCACCCGGCCCTTCTACTCGCTTTTCCGCTTTATCTGTCAATCAATCTTCACACAATCTACTGGGCATGATATACTAACACCTCCTCACTAGCTCTGGGTCGCTCAACTACGGACACACCGGCGTCAAGCTTGCCACCGTCACTATGGACGATTCGTCCCACTCCGTCTACCTGGCCACTGGCGCTACTTACGGACCCTGGCTCGCGTACGAGGGCAAGACCAGTAATGGCGGCTCTTGCACTGGTGCATACCTCGGTGACCTGCCTGGCGAGTGCGTCAACCTCGACAACCACTTCTCTGGCCGCCGTATTCGCTGCGTCGCCAAGACGCTTGTTTGAAAAGCCGTTTACGAATAAGGATAACGCGTCTGGGTCGAGTCAGAAAGCATCCTGGAATACCGGACGCGTTTATAATACTGTACATGAGAAAGCCTTGAATTCAATGTAAATAGAGTGTGACCACTGTCGTTATTTTGTGCATGTGTGAAGATAAATAGCTACAAGAAACTCTTAATGAGTAATGTGGACGAAATTGAATGGGTGTCGCATCCCTCCTTTGGCTGTTGCAATTTGGGCTTGCCGGTGTGAGTATCCAACACCTTAGTGCTGGATTCGGCTTCTAGGCACCTGCATATCTGATGTTCGGCGTAGGAGGTGTCTGCATATCCTTGCCGATGAAATAGTCGACGTGACTAGACTGCATATAGCCCTTCAGCGTCATGGCGTTACGATAAGCCGGATTGTGTGCCAGAGTGTACAGCCGGATGTCGCTCGGCTTGTCCGTCGTGAAGATCAGCAACTCGTCCGCGTCCGCATTGGTGACAACAACCTCCTCCCTCCAGTCGCCAAGAATGTCGCCAATGAATTGGGCGTATCTGCCCGACAGAGTGCCTCCGTAGGTGCTGACCTTCAAGATACGATCAACCGCAGAGGTGTTCCAGTTCCACTTCTCAAATTTGCCGTCGTTGAAGAGTTCCATCATTTCGTCTCCGTCCCACCAGAGACCTGTATGAGGCCACGGAGCAAGGGAGGTGTCGGACTCAGTAAGCTCGTTCTCTTTTGCATTGTAGACGCCCATGAATGACCACACTTCCATCCCTTCGTGGTTGGGGTCAATGTCTCCAGCCATACCTCGCGCATTGTCGCCGACCTCATCGCCGTAGTGTTTCCAGAGAATCTCGCCAGAGTCGGCATCATAGTAGTACTCATACAAGAGGCTCGGGTTATCCTGCTGAACGCCGTACCCCTGGAGGCCCTCGCGGTCAGGGTCCAACTTGGCAATGTGGAAACGGTCGCCGTGGACGACACCCTGGTCGTTGAGCGAGTAGCGAGGCTTTCCGTCGCCGTTGAGACCAAATCCGATCTCAAAGATTTCATCCTTTCCATCGCCGTCCACGTCGATGATACGCGTGTTGTGTCCGTCCGAGTAATTGCCGTTGCCCCGGTTCCACTGCCACTCCTGCGTGAGAGTTTTGCCGTTGAAGGTGTAGGCCGCATAGATCAGATTGAACGCTCCCGAGTCCTGGCGGTTCTTCATGTAGGCAACGAGGTGGGGCGTCTCTCCATCGAGAAATCCTGCGCCCAAGCGCGCACCCATGGGGCCGTCTTCGATGTAATCTGTGGGCACAGGGGCAGTGGCGCGGAGGACGCCGGTAAGTCCGTCGATGATGGCCATGAACTGGTGGTCGTTGGTCTCGCCGTCATCGAAAGTGGTGCCGTCCCCGAACTTGACGCCGTTGGCGATTCTCAGAGCGACTTCCGCCCGGCCGTCGCTGTCGAAATCGAATACAGTCGCGCCATCCCAGTGGCCGACATCAATCGTCGCAGAGCCAGGTTCGATATTGTTCTGGTTCTCGCTGTTGGGTCCCAGACTAACCTGCCACAGAAAAGTCCCGTTGCTGGTGTACGCCTCGAGGGACTGAGGCGACGTCTGGCGATCAAGAACAAAGTCCCACTCACCGTCGCCGTCCAGATCGCCGACCCAGATGAACTTGACGGCGCCGCCGCTGTTGATGGGGACACGAACGACCGGTTCGACGGCATTGTCAGCCGGCAGAGTGAAGGATTCGCTGGCGTCTTGCTCCTTGCCGCTGATAACAGGCCTGACGAAGTAGGTGTTGACCTCGTCCGGGTCGGCGGTGGAGTCGACAAAGTTGGTGCCGCCGGTGAGGACGGCGCTATTGAGCTTCTCGGGATTTCCGCCCGCGTCGCGATAGAGGTTGAAGCCGATCCCGCTGGGGTCAAGGCCTAGGAGCCGCCAAGAAACGAGGATCTCCTGATCGCTTCTGCGGACGGCGACTACGCCTCGGCCGAGGTTTTCCAAGGGCCGAGCTGCGTGGGCCAACAGTCCGCCGAAGAGGGCAAGAATTGCGGGAAGCGTCGTTTGCAACTTCATGATGATTGTCTGGGATTTGTGAATGAATGTTTCTGTGCTTCAGAGCTCGTTGCCTTCAATCTCCATCGCCGGAAGCCAGGTTGAAGAGAAATTCTTGCGCTCATTTATATTCCTCGGTAACTGGACAGTCTATAGATAAGCTTTACATGTCGGCTGCAACATCGATCGCACGTTCATTCTCGTGGCCCGAAAAGCAGCGAGACAGCTTCTGCCCGAGTTACATTCCCGCTTTTGGCGCGCCGGTAGATGTCGTTCGGCCGCGCGAACGACATTACGCGCAGACGGCATTTCCTCAATGGAAGGGCCGCTATTGGAGGAGGAAACAATCCAGGTCTTGGCAGAGTACCACAAGATCCTTGACCCCTGGCCTGATAACTTGGTCCGGTTCACATTCCCCGTGCATGTCGTCGTTGTCGGGAGATCTGGCCCGGAGCATCGGACGAACGCGCGGGAGAGATAACTTACCCCACGGGGAAGTGTGCCTGCCAAGCCCCCCGTAGGCTGCACCCCACAACTATCGGAGTGCCGTCGATCAAAGCACTTCTTCGCAGACAATATTAGGCATGTTCACGTCTGAACTTTTGGGCTTCGCGTGCGCTAAGATAACTTTGCCGAGCGCAGGGCTTGGGGTTAGGCCTGCTGAGCATATTGAATTTGCTTGAAGGCATCAACTGTCATTGAGGTCCAGAGCATTATGGGTGACCGGATCTCGAAGATGGTCAAGCCAGCGTCAGTCCTTCAACCATGTTGAGCAACCGTCGCAATCGTCCGTCCTGCGGTAAATAAAAAATGGCTGCCCGACTGACAAACACATTAGCTGTGAGAACATCGAAACAGGAACGAAGTGAGCAAGAGCTCCACCCAGACAGAGCATGAAAAAATCGATTCTTCCGGCTGCGCATCACATCCCTCCATTCATAACCCACACAATCCCCCAACTCGATACCCCTCAATTCCCAAAGTCGTTCTGGCTCAAGGATACTTGGACCGACAGCTTGAATCCGCCCCCGTCGCCCCCGCGCCCTGGCACCGCCTCCGCCAGTCGCAGTTATCAAAGCTCGACGCGCCGCCGTACGTCTTGACCTCGCACTCCTGGTACGTTGTGCTCGCGCCGTACTCGCGCTCCGCCTTGATCATGCTGCCGCCGAAGTGGTCGCACACGGACTTGGTTGCCCCGTTGTTGGGCACGCCGTTGCTGTCGTAGCAGTGGCAGTCGTTGTAGCTGGCGCACGCGGAGGCGTAGGCCGCGAAGGCGAGGGTGAGGATGGCGGCGGGGCGCATTGTGAAAGAAATCGTAGGTATTGTGATGGATGTTGTTGTGTCAGGGAATGGACGAATGTTTATATATGGCGGTCGAGTTGCTTATAATGAAGATGAAGGGATGGTCGATGCAGATTAGAATGACAAACCGGTGGGATGAAGTCAGTTAGGTTGCCATTTATATAATTCGCTCATTGTCTTGCGCTACATCTACGAGCATAAAGTATCGACTGGGTGAGATCATATGTCCCCGATCAGTAACGTTCAGACTGGACCTCGACTGACTCTGTCGACGTCTCCACATCCCATCCGGTCGCCAAGCATATCGGCAATGCCCTCCGTATTTCTTGTTCGGTGGAGCCATGCCTTTAAGTACGATCAGCACCAACACAAACTTCCTCCAATCGACTCTGTGCAACATCATTGATATCCTGACTCGCACCTTGTCCTCATGGTACGAGCTTCGCTAAGAATGTCGGCCCCTCCCCCATATACCGCTGCGCATATAGGCTCGTATAAACCTTTGTTCTGTTGAAATTTCTGCTCATACGCCCTTGGCTTCCATAAGACGTTAGAAATCTCTAGGGCGAGTGAGGTGGTGAGGGGCGGCATAGCAGTATATCGATTTGACACCAGGGACACTAGTGCCAACGGCTTCATTGAAGACTTCATCCTGTGTCTCTTAGCAACGACGTTAGACCTCTTCATCACGGAAATGCTGGCACCGCAGCGTTCCACTCACGGAAAAGGTTGTGGATATAATGTCAACGAACACCGCGCTACGAATACGCGCGAACTATGTCGTCGTACGACAAGACGTATCGCGAGGCTATGACTCGCGGTACCCTTGAACAACAGCCTGACACGAAGTCCAGGGCATGGAGGTAGACCGAGCTGGAGCACCACATTGGACTCCTTGGGATGGATGTCGTTGGCCAGAAAATCCAGGATTAGATGGAACCGATGCCGCTCGTACTAAACACTGGGGGTGATAACAGGGAGACGGAAAGTCTATTTGGACCTTGAGAACCATATGTAGATTTGACCCCAGTTGGTCTCACTCTCACCGCTAAAGATCCAAAGATGAATTCGAATCGCAACGAGATAAGGAAAAGTGACATATATTCATTAGACTACTACGGTCATCCCTCATTATGCATCAACAATCTCGAAGCGGACGAGAATGGAGCACGTTGTCTCTCTGCCCTTCAAGTCCAGCATTCTGATAAAGACCCAACCGGGTACGGTGTAAGCTAGGCGCACGGCACCGACTGCCAGCATCGGGTTCCTCGCGAAGCTGTCGTCGCTCTTAATGAGCATTCGCAAGAACACCATCTCGTTGTCTTGGTACTCCCACTCCAGCGTCTCGTCCCAAAGCGGTTCCGTCGGTGGCGGGTTCTCGCCCTTGTGCAAAAAGCCCGTGAGCTTGTGTTGCCTGTACCCTGCCGTCTTCCTCTTAGGGGGTTCCATGGACAGGTCATGCGGATGAACCAGAGTGCAGGTGAGGTAGGGCTTGATGGGCTCGTCGTCGTCACGTTTCGAAGGGATAGGCACGTCAGTGGCGCCACCAACGTGGAGACGCAGCTTCTTCTTGCCTCCAGAATCAAGATGGCCGGAGCCGCCAGCTCGGAGCGCGGCAGGCTTCAGGATGAAGCCCTCGGAACCACTAAAGAGGGCCTCGTTGAGTTGCATAGAGGCGCCAAATGTCTGCCAGTTGAGAGCGCAAATCTGAGCACCAATGCCCCAGAAAGGGACCGGATGGAGGTTCTTAGATGAGATGCGGGTGCCCTTAGGGAAGACGCGCATGAGGTGTTGGGCGTTGTGTCGGGAGATCTTGTCGCTCGCCTCGGGCATGTGGGAGGCGAGGCCAGACTCGGACACATTAATGAGGTGGTGGTGAGGCCCTTCTTTGAGAATGTCCTCGTACCAGGAGTTGTCGACTGGCTTGACGGACTGAGCGTAGACGCCGAGAGCCTCGAGCTCGGGGACGATGAGCGTCTTTGGGGCGGCTTTCTTCTTGGCCTTGTAGGCTTCGTGGTCCTTTTTCTCTTCCTCGTCCTCGTCGTCCGAGCTCGAGCTGCTGTCGTCAGGCTCGCCGGGGAAGTGGTACTCGACGATGAGCACGATCTTGTTGCCGAGCTCCTCGAGACGGACAGGGCTGTCGCCTTCCTGCTCCGCGTGGCCCTTCTCTCGCACCGCCTTGCTCAGCAACCTGTCGCCAAAGACTTCTTTCATGATCTGGACGAGGCGCATCTGCCCCTCTGGGTCGCAGTGGTTCTCCAGAGACAGAAGGATGGGGGCAGCCGGGTTAGGATCTCTCGCCTCCTGGTCGACGACATCGCGGATGGTCTCGCAGACGGCGCGGAAGGGGATGTGAGAGACCAGGGTGTAGCCGTGGGTGACCTTGGGCTCGTCCTTGTTGTCGGGGTTGTCCCAAGCATCAATCTCGACGCAGCGTGCACCAGCGCGCAGGGTGTCTTCGTAGGCCTCGGCCGAGGAGCTTCCATAAAGCTGGTGGGCCAGGAGGTAGGTGTTGTGGCTAGAGCTGATAAAGTACTCGGGCAACGGGTGGGACCTGTCGGTGAGTTCGCGCGGAACGCTGATGTGAGGCTTGTCGACGAGAGCCTGCAGGGCGCGGGAGGGCTGGTCCGAGTCGATGTCGGCCTCCTTGGAGGACAGAACCTTCTGATCGACCAGGAAGGACTTGATTGCGCGACTCACGCGCAGGCGGTGCTTGAGGTCGGAGTCGCGGGCGGCGTGGCCTCCACCGGCGAGGGTGGAGTGGTCCGTCTTCTCGCCGAGCTCTTCCTCATCCTCGGGGGCGCGCTTGGAGAAGGGATTGAGGTTGGCGAGCTTTGAGGTGATTTGCGCAGCCATGTTGAGGGGCGACAGGTGGGTTCTGACTCAGGATGCAGGGAGGGTGTCTGTCGTCTGCGCTCGAGCTGTGGCGCACGGAGTAGGTAGGGATATTTGAAGGGTCGAGGTGAGGTGAGGTGAGGTGCGGAGGTGAGATGATGGTGAAGAGGCAAGGAGGAGCGGCGGCAGGGAAAACAGACGACGTCAAGCTTGGCTGATGCACGCCGCGTCAGGTCGCAGCTGGTGTGGTGCCTTCCTTGAATGCGCCCCCAAAATGCCCCTCAGCTCCTTCTCAGAATGCGCCGGCGCGATGGAGGGGTTCTTTTGGTGTGGAGCCGATAATTGGAGAGCTGGTTGAGCTGTGGCCAATGGAAACCGCCAGAGACGACCTATTCAGGTTAGCTCACGCCTTACATAAGACAGATTAAAACGTGCCCCTCACCACCTTCTTGAAGTTCTTCGTCCACTGGTTCGTCTCATCCTCTGAATCCTTCCAGAGAACACCTCCCTCAGACGGGCATGGTCTTCTAGAACAAGCATCCAATTCTTCGACGCACCAAAGCATTTGAAATGGACACACGGGCTATGATGCTGAAAGCCTGCGCGATCTTCTTCAAGCCTGTGGCTGCCAGCGCATCTCGTCCGACATGGCCAACGCAACTGGGCGACTGCCGGTTCTTTGGGGCCGACGAGACCATTTCAGAGTCCGTTGCGACGATCGGCACTTTACCGCCGTCTTATCCTGGCTCAGCCGCAGAGGCTTCAACACGGCATCCTGTTTCGCTGGCTCCCCAGCTGGTCTCTCGCCCACACACAGCTGAGCTCAGCTGCGCGGCCCAATCAGCGCTCCAAGAGACTCCAGGCCAAGCAGTCGACCCCACGATGCAGTGGCAGCGTCGTCAGCGCCCAAGGATCAAGCCGAATCTCCAACATCACCCTCGCTGATGGATCCACTTCGGCGCCGTTCTACCGGCTCGGCATCTTCCTGCCCGGAACGGCACTCAGGGACTCTTTCAGCCTTGTGGGTCCGTCACACCGTGAACCTGCAGCCAGACCTTTCCACCCCCAGACATTGGCGTCTTCTTTTCTCCGATGCAAAGACGTCTTCCGTTTCCTCGTGTCATGTCAAGCGCTACTTGACTGTTTGGGATGTGCTGCTTGCGTCGTCGGAATGGCGGGGTCGCGGCACTGCACAATGAATTCTGTGACAAGAATCATAGGAATGATCGTGGCTTACAATCGAATGCTGCTGATGCGAGAAGCTTGGACGTCTAAGCCAGGATCCCCCTTCGCCGCATTCATGAGCTACCGCACGGAAAGGACTCCAGAGCCGCCTTTACCTTAATCTGGGCGCGAGCTTTCACTCCCATCAATGCCGTCTCGGGGCATGGTGAGGCGCGTGCGTTGTTCTCTTGTACGCTAGCCCAACGCGGGAGGCATTGCTTGGATATCTACTGGCGGGACTACCCAAGCTTTTCGATTCGAAACGACAAAGATATGGCCACCAAATCTGATTGAGCCATGGAAGCTGTGCGACCGAATGCTGTTCGCCAACTGCGCCCGCCGACACGTCTTGCTACCAACCCCTCGAGCTCCATTGGCGGTAGTGCATGCACCTCCAAGGGTCTTTGGGCGCCTTCTCGGTCGCTGATGGCTAGGCCCTCCAAGTCTGGGGTCTAACGGGGAGGTAAACATTGAATTGGCATGGCTGGCCAGACGAACCACGGGTAGCGCAACTGCACAGGGAACAAGCAGCAGGGGAGCTCGCAGGCGCCCTCCATCCGTCGAACCCAGCCAGATGGCTCCCTGCCGGCCGCTGTCGTCATCCTCAGCTTACCTTGTGCGTTATTTTTACCCGAAAGCGGCGAGCGGCACACCGCCAGACGCTCATGACGAGAAGCAAGCGACAAATCGTTTGATGGACGGGTTTTGATGGATGGCATGGCATGGCTGGGTGCATTGAGCATCATCAAGACAACACACATGCGACCGGGGACGAGAGGCGAGGAGGTGCAAATCGCATCGTGATCGACAGCGCAAAGGGCCACGGGATGAGCAATATCGCCTTTCGCCTCCCACCTCCCACGGTGTCCTCTGCTCGTCTCAGTCCAGTGCGGTCGCACAGCATGCGGGGTCCAGCAGCATTCCACCAAAGAACCCCCGTC